GCATGTGGACACGCAGAGCAGGTGGATACAGCATGTAGACATAGAGCATCAGACACACAGAGCATGTGGACACGCAGAGCAGGTGGACACGCAGAGCAGGTGGACACGCAGGGCAGGTGGACACGCAGAGCAGGTGGACATGCAGTACAGGCAGATACAGCATGCAGACATAGAGCACACAGACACATAGAGCACACAGACATGCAAAGCACACGGACATGCAGAACACACTGGCATGCAGAGCATGCAGACATGCAGAGCACACGGACACGCAGAGCATGAAGATGCGCAGAACACATGGACACGCAGGGCTCATGGACACGCAGGGCATGTGGACACGCAGGGTTCATGGACACGCAGGGCTCATGGACACGCAGGGTTCATGGACACGCAGGGCATGTGGACACGCAGGGCTCATGGACACGCAGGGCATGTGGACACGCAGGGCATGTGGACACGCAGGGCTTGTGGACACGCAGGGCATGTGGACACACAGGGTTCATGGACACGCAGGGCATGTGGACACGCAGGGCTCATGGACACGCAGGGCTCGTGGACACGCAGGGCATGTGGACACGCAGGATTCATGGACACGCAGGGTTCATGGACACGCAGGGTTCATGGACACGCAGGGCATGTGGACACGCAGGGCATGTGGACACGCAGGGTTCATGGACACGCAGGGTTCATGGACACGCAGGGTTCATGGACATGCAGGGCATGTGGACACGCAGGGTTCATGGACACGCAGGGCCCATGGACACGCAGGGTTCATGGACACGCACGGCATGTGGACACGCAGGGCTCATGGACACGCAGGGCATGTGGACACGCAGGGCATGTGGACACGCAGGGTTCATGGACATGCAGGGTTCATGGACACGTAGGGCATGTGGACACGCAGGGCTCATGGACACGCAGGGCATGTGGACACGCAGGGCATGTGGACACGCAGGGCATGTGGACACGCAGGGTTTGTGGACATGCAAGGCATGTGGACACGCAGGGCATGTGGACACGCAGGGCATGTGGATACGCAGGGCTCGTGGACACGCAGGGCATGTGGACACGCAGGGTTCATGGACACGCAGGGCATGTGGACATGCAGGGCTCATGGACACGCAGGATTTGTGGACACGCAGGGCATGTGGACACGCAGGGCATGTGGACATGCAGGGTTCATGGACACGCAGGGCATGTGGACACGCAGGGCATGTGGACACGCAGGGCATGTGGACACGCAGGGTTTGTGGACACGCGGGGTTCATGGACACGCATGGCATGTGGACACACAGGGCATGTGGACACGCGGGGTTCATGGACACGCAGGGCTCGTGGGGAGCAGAGCACGCTGGGGCTCTGCTGGGGCTGCCTCGTGGCCTGGGCCTTGCTCCAGGCACGCTCTTCTGTACTTACCTGCTGGGGCTGGGGCGGGGCCTCGCTCACTGGGACAGAAGTGGCCCCAGCAGCTCACGTGCCTGCACTTTGCGCGGGCTCAGGCTGACCCGGAGGGCCCTGTCCCTGTCCCCAGGTCCCAGGGTCTGGATTCACCCCCCAACCCCACCCTTAGGTCCTTCCTATCTCAAGGGACTCTTAGAATAAAAACCAACTCTTCCTGGAAGCTGCTAAGAGCGGACGCACGGCCCCGGGGCCTCCTGGGAGCTGCAGGGCTGGGTCAGGAGCCCGGGAGGCGTCTCCGGAGCCAGGGCTGTGGAGCTGCTGCGGTGGAGAGGGCCGGGTTACCCCTCCTGGGGGAGCACTGCAGATGTCCCAGTCAACCAGCTGCTCCAGATCTTTGCACAGCTAGCAGGGGTACCTCGAGTTTCCTGCAACTGAGGAAGCAGCTGGTTGGTTCAGGAGGAGCTGCGGTCTCCCCAGGCTGCCCCCGCGGTGTGGGCCTCCCCTCTCTCCCTACTCCCCCCCACCCCTTGGCCTGGGTAAGTTCTGCACTTGGACTACTGGAGGCAGAGTGACTCCTGGCCATGGGGGGAGAGGGGAGGAGGGGGGGGAAGGGGGGTGAGGGGCAGGGGAGGGGCTCTGCCTCCCTTCCTTCTTGAAACCTGGAACCTAGACACCAAGCAGGGAGCTTGAGCAGCTGCCTGACCAGAGGGGAAGTTTCTAATGGCCTTGGGAGATTGGAGGTCAGCCCCGAGGAAGAAAAACCCTGTGGGCCTTGGCGCAGCCGCCAGGGTTTGGGGTTAGGGCGGCCTGCCCCGGCCTGGCCGAATGCCCTGGAGCTTGGCTGAAACCACTACTAACACCTCACGAGTCAGATGGGGGGGCGTGTCCCGGTCAAAGGAAACTTCAGTATTGGCTGGCGATGAGCACTTGCAGACTCAGCTCCTTGACGCGGGGCTTTTCAAAAGCGCCATTTCCTCCCAGCCCCTTCTGTTTCAGAGCATTTGTGTGGACAGTCCCCACAGCAGTCCCGGGCGGCCCCTGCCTCACGTGGCAGAGGACAGGAATAAAACAAGAGGAAGTCAGAAGACACTGGAAAGATGTGTCCCAGGGAAAAACTGCCATCCTAGCCTCTGGGGTCCCAGGGAAAAACTGCCATCTTAGCCTCTGAGGTCTCTTGACAGCATGGACACACCCAGTGGGTGGCCTTGTGCTGGGAAACTGACGGACAGATGGACAGACGTTATGAAATGATAAACCTGAAGCACAAACCAATGATCACGGCGTGGAGGCTGGGAGGGTGGGCTGTCTAGTCATCAGAAACCATGACAGGTGGACAGGGACACACTGAGAATAAAAGAACCACGCCCCGACGCTGTTCATGGCAGCCGAGGTGGAAGCAGTCCAGCGTCCGTCCAAGGACGACAGGCAGGGGACACGGGTCCAGCTGTGTACCAGGGCCCTACGCATCCTAAAGTGGAAAGGAAATTTGAACACAGACTGCGACGTGGGTGAACCAGCCACACAAGAACAAGCAGCTGCTCCTAACGCGGTCCCCACCAGGCGGCGGCGTGGGGCGAAGTCCAACCCTGGCAGCCTGGCTGGTGTCCCGCGGGGCTTGGGTGGGCGCCGTTTCGGCTTACAGGGGAAAAGGTTTGGGAGATGCTGGGCGTGTCACACACAATGTGGGCAGTTTAACGCCACAGAACAAGCTTCCCTTAGAAATGGAGACCTGGCAGCTTCAGGATGAGCATAATTCACCCCCATGAGGTTAAAGCCTGGGAATCCCCAGAGAAAAACGGAAGAACCCGGGGCTGTTTGGTGTCCCGGGAGCAGCCGTGTGCCAGGGTCCAGGGGCCCCAGGACTGGGGTGAGCCACAGCTGGGAGGAGGGCAGGGCGCTGAGTGGCCACCCCTCCAGTGGGAATTGATGGCTGCCTCTGAGGGGTCTCGGGAGGGCCAAGCTCCGGTCAGGCCGCTGGAGTGCGCCACGCCACTCCAGGGAGACCAAGCAGCCATGGCCGTGGTGGACTGGGCCACAGTGGACTGGGCACCTGGCTCCTGGGGTCACAGCCCCAAGACAGGCAGGTGTTTTTAGAAAGCTGAGCTGAGCCCTGCCACCTGCAAGAACCCATGAGCTGAACCACAGGAGCCTGCAGACGGCTGCTGGGCGGGGCCGCTGCCCGGAGGGCACAGAGGGGCTTCGGCCCAGACACACAGCCTGCGCCATGACCGCCTGCTCCTCGGCTGCCCCAGGGCTGCCCTGCAATGTCCATGGACCCCCTCCCCTCCTGGTCTAGCCTGGGACCTGTGGTGTCCACAGACCTCCCCCCCTTCTCCCGGTCTAGCCTGGCACTTGCTGCTGGAAGGCCTGGGGCTGGGCCATATGCCTCAGGTGTGCAAGGGAAAGGCCACGAAACAAAGAAACCTGCGAGCCACTTTCGCAGAGAATCGTCTGTGTTAGGCCTAAGACGCTCTGCAGGCCACAGCCGCCTCGGGGCCGCCAGGCAGGCGGCCTTTAGTGACGGAGTCCAATCCAGTGGCCCCACCCCCTTCCCGGTCTTCCCCGGAGGTGTGAGGTGAGCAGAGACACTGGGAGGGGGCTGGTTCCAGAAGGAGGCGAGCTTGAGAGAGCTAAGGAAGGGCTGATCCTCTAGAGGGCTCCAGGGAGGGCCCCGGGAGAGCGGGGTACCGTGGGGCCCCACGTGGGGTGATGGCCCCTCAGGAGCCAGCCTGACCCGTGCCTGCCGGGCACACATGATGCTAGGGCTGAACTACAGAAGGTTCTCTGTGAGGGTCGCTCCTTCAGGGCCTCCTGCCTTGTCTGGCGGGGCCACACCGGAGCAGGTGGGAGATTTGCTCTGATGGAGGGGCCCCCGGCTCTGCTCCGGCCCTGGCCCCCCCCCTCTGCTCCGGCCCTGGCCCCCCCCCTCTGCTCCGGCCCTGGCCCCCCCACTCTGCTCCGGCCCTGGCCCCCCCACTCTGCTCCGGCCCTGGCCTGGCCCTGGCCCCCCCCCTCTGCTCCGCAATGGCCCTGGCCTGGCCCTGGCCCCCGGCTCTGCTCCGGCCCTGGCCCCCCCCCTCTGCTCCAGCCCTGGCCTGGCCCTGGCCCCCGGCTCTGCTCCGGCCCTGGCCCCCCCCCCCTCTGCTCCGGCCCTGGCCTGGCCCTGGTCCCCAGGCTCTGCTCTGCAGTGGCCCTGGCCTGGCCCTGGTCCCCAGGCTCTGCTCTGCAGTGGCCCTGGCCTGGCCCTGGCCCCCGGGCTCTGCTCTGCAGTGGCCCTGGCCTGGCCCTGGCCCCCAGGCTCTGCTCTGCAGTGGCCCTGGCCTGGCCCTGGCCCCCGGCTCTGCTCCGGCCCTGGCCTGGCCCTGGTCCCCAGGCTCTGCTCTGCAGTGGCCCTGGCCTGGCCCTGGCCTCCCCGCTCTGCTCCGGCCCTGGCCTGGCCCTGGCCCCCCGGCTCTGCTCCGCAGTGGCCCTGGGCATCCCCGACACCCTGTCCTCCACCAGTGGCTGGTGGGCCCACTGTCAGGAACACGACAGCGTGAGGTGGCCACGGTGAGACAGCCCCCGCCCTGCTGCTGCTTTGTGGTCAGGGAGTTTCAGGGTGAACCCGCCAGGCCCTGCTACTTCCTGAAAGCTGTCTGGGCTCGCAGGGGTGCGTTCTGCCGTGTGGATCCCAGGGTAAGTCCTCGCGTTCTGGGAGCGGGGAGTGGGCCAGGGCCCGGCCCCTACACAGCCCGGGGCCGAGAACCGGGTTGTCTGCTGGCACCGTGCTGTGTGTGCTGTTTCCAGGAGAGCTGGGGGCGTGGTGCCCACCAGCGTAGGGTCAGGAGGCTGGGGGACACAGGGACAATGGCCCCCTTCGGCTCCGTGTCTAGCCTGGCTTCTTCTGGACGGGGACACCCTCATCCCTGCTCACTGGGGCAGGTGCGGTCGGGGGCTACATCTCCTCTCGTAGTCAGGCTTTTCCCAGAATGCCTTGTTGGTGGGGTGAGCGGCTCCTGCCCACTAGGGACTTCCCAGGCTGAGCGGCGGGACTTCAGGAGGACTGGACCGGCAGCTCGGCCTCAGCCCAGAGGCCGTGGCTGGAGGCGCAAAGGCCTCTTCGGCCCAGTGTCCGGAGCGTCGGGCAGGGAGGCTCTGTAGCTTCTGCTGGTTCCTGAACAGCTCTGTCACGCCTCAGGCACCCAGAGGGGCAGGAGAAGGCTGGGCAGGTCTCTGTCTCGGGCACTGTGTGTTAGGGGATTGCCCAGGCTGGGCGCCCCGGGAGAGAAATGAGAAGGGCAACGGCTGACAGACACAGGCGCAGCCCGCAGCGCTCAAGTAGGAGTCACAGCGGTGCCGGGCTGCTCTGGAACCGGCGGGCGACACTCAGGGAGGCCGAGCCCAGGCGCGTGTGCAGAACCGAGCATGCTCTGAGCACAGAGGTCAGCTCCGAGCGCAGAGGTCAGCACCATGCTGTCCACGTTTGACTCACTTTTCCTCTGAACCACCCAACTTCTGCAGCCCTGCAACAAAGCTCAAATTTCCAACTTATTACTTAGAAGGACATTTACTTTTTTTTTAATTGTGATTACGTGATTATATAAATTTCACAATTTCACTTTATAACAATTTCACATTCTAACCTTCCTGGGGCAAATTGTCTTTATCGTGGTCTATAAAGTTTATGAGTTCTATGGGCTTTGACAATACAGTTATTTCTTCCACATCAGGTGATCTTTCCTTTTGCTTAGTGTCAGCTGTTCCCTCTTTCCCATTTGTTCCCTCCCTCCCATCGCTGCCATTGAGCTGCTTAGTTCGTTTTGATCAATGTCCAGGGCAGCTGATGGGTCCCGCTGTTGTATGTTTTCCTGTTTCCCTCCCATGTGCACATATATACCATACATGTGGTCAGCAGCGTGGGGTCATTTAGTAATGATTCGGCCAGCTGAGTGGAGGTCCTTTGTTTCTTAAGTCTTGTTAACTTTGTCGTATCTCCTTACATTTTTTTTTTTTTGGTCAGTCGTGGGGCCTGAACTCTGGGCCTGGGCGCTATCCCTCAGCTCTTCAGCTCAAGGCTAGCGCTCTACCACTTGAGCCACAGCGCCACTTCCGGCTTTTTGCTTATGTGGTGCTGAGGAATTGAGCCCAGGGCCTCAGGCATACAAGGCAAGCACTCTACCACTGAGCCACCTTCCCAGCCCCTCTCCTTACATTTTGGATTTAACATCCACTTATCAGGGAGACCATGTCCTGTTTGTCTCTTTGCTCTTGGCTTACCTCACTCAACATGATTTCTTCTAGTTCCATCCATTTTCCTACGAATGCCATTGTTTTGTCCTTTGTAATGGTTAACATGACATTTATACTTTTAACTTGATCTGGGCTACCAGATTTTTACAACATTAAAGGTAGGGAAACACTCCGCAGGTTAGGAAATGATTTAAACCCAACTGAACTGTCACGTGGGTTGAAAGCTAGCTTCTTCACACCAACTGTGAAATGGGCAGGCAAGAATTAAAAAAAAGAAAAAAAAAAGCTGCTTTTAAAATAAGTCCACAAATAAAGCAGATGTAGTGTATGTTTGATGGTGGTGCTAGGCTCGAACTCAGGGCCTCTTGCTGGCCTCTGTTGCTCACAGCTGGTGTGTTTGAGCTTTGTCCCCAATCCTGGCTTTTTGCTGGTTCATTGGAGATAAGATTTCACAGGTTTTTCTGCCTAGGCTGGTTCTAAATGGCAATTCTCAGTTCTCGGGCCTCCTGAGTAGCTAGGATTATAGACATAAACTGTGCGGACTGAGCCATCCAGTCTTTTAGACCTACCCGATTGGGAAGATGGAGATGTTGTGGGGAAGCAGGTTCCCCAGCCCCAGGGGGTGGTGTGTGGTGCAGTTCCTGCCAGAGCCTGGAGCTGCGTGACAAGGGCGAGGAGAGCCTGTGAGTCAGAGCCCCACGGAGGATGTGTGGTGAAGGCCCGGATAGAGCCCGAGGGCAGCAGGCAGAGGCTGGCCCGGCCACGGCCACACCGAGGTCGCACCTCACTCTGCCTTCAGTTTGAGAGATCATCAAAGGTTGAGTATTTCCAAAAGACTGGAAGGTCAGGTGGGGCGCAGGGCTGAACGGGGGCGGTCGGGCGGCCCGGCCATGACCCTGCCGTCTGTGTGGCCCCGGGGAGCGCGGTGGGCTCCCCCGGTGGAGCGCAGGTCTGCCTGAGGGGAGCGCGGTGGGCTCCCCCGGTGGAGTGGGTCTGCCTGAGGGGCGGCAGCTGCGGAGGGCGGGGGGCGGGGGTGGAGGACAGGCAAGCCCGAGACACGGAAGAAGCTGAGAGGAAGGCGCTGGATGGGGCGCAGGAAGGAAGGAAGGGTGGTTTGAAGATGTACCGAACAGTCGAGGGCATGGGTGGGGGCTGGGAGCCAAGGGGAAGCAGAGGCACGGGCAGGGGCGGGCGAAGGGGAGGCTCCCATCCTGTGCCTGGTGACGCCATCTGAGCCACACCCAGGCAGGCAGGGCGGGTCTGCTGCACGGCGCCTGCTGACTGGAGCTCAGGCTCCACGGGCACCGCGCGCACCATGGGCCCAGGATCACGGTGGTACAATGCGGACTGTGGTACCACAGACCTCCTGGGCGTGGGACACTGTGGGCATCACAGGCAGTGGGGCTTTAAGGACCTCAGAGGCTCTGTGGACATGGTGGGCCCCAGGGGCCGTGGTGGGCCTTGTGGACATGGTGAGTCTGGTGGACGTGGTGGGCCTTGTGGACATGGTGAGTCTGGTGGACGTGGTGGGCCTTGTGGACATGGTGAGTCTGGTGGACGTGGTGGGCCTTGTGGACATGGTGAGTCTGGTGGACATGGTGGGCCTTGTGGACATGGTGAGTCTGGTGGACGTGGTGGGCCTGGGGGACATGGTGAGTCTGGTGGACGTGGTGGGCCTTGTGGACATGGTGAGTCTGGTGGACGTGGTGGGCCTTGTGGACATGGTGAGTCTGGTGGACGTGGTGGGCCTTGTGGACATGGTGAGTCTGGTGGACGTGGTGGGCCTTGTGGACATGGTGAGTCTGGTGGACATGGTGGGCCTTGTGGACATGGTGAGTCTGGTGGACGTGGTGGGCCTGGGGGACATGGTGAGTCTGGTGGACGTGGTGGGCCTTGTGGACATGGTGAGTCTGGTGGACGTGGTGGGCCTGGGGGACATGGTGGACCTTGTAGATGTGCCCGGAGGACCTTGTTCTACATCTACCTGTGTCTCCACCTGGTGGACAGCAGTAGCAGGTGGTGGGTGTGGGAAGGTCAGGTCATGGCATCTGAGGATGGGTTTGAATTCATGCCTTTCTCTACACTCTCTTGGTCTGCTCGGCATGGACCTGTATTTGGGCTCCACTTCAGGAAGAAGGACCATTGCTGCTTCTGCTCTGTTGCTGGGATCTGTGCATGGGGGCAGTCACACACACTTCACATTGTATGTGTGTGTGTGTGTGTGTGTGTGTGTCTGTCTGTCTGTGTGTATGTTCTCATTTGGCTTTTTCACTCAAGGCTGGCATTCTACCACTTGAGCCACAGCTCCACTTCTAGCTTTGTGCTTGTTAATTGGAGATAAAAGTCTAACAAACATTTCTGCCTGGGCTGGCTTCAAACTTGGGCCCTCAGACCTCAGTCTCCTGAGTATCTAGGATTACAGGCGTAAGCCACTGGCACCTAGCACATCTTGAATCATTTTTTCAGAGGAAAAAAATCCATAGAAAAGAACTTAATAGGTTAAAAGTTAGGGGCTGGGAAGGTGGCTCGGTGGTAGAGCGCTTGCCTTGCGTGCCTGAGGCCCTGGGTTTGATTCCTCAGCGCCACATAAGCAAAAAGAAAAAAAAACAGAAGTGGCGCTGCGGCTCAAGGGGGCTCAAGTGGTAGAGCGCTCGCCTTGAGCTGAGGGGCAGCGCCCAGGCCCAGAGTTTCTTAAAAGTTAAACACTTAAAGAATTTTGGGAAAATACTATAAAGTTGCATCTGTCAATTCTCTGTTACATGGAGATGAGTTCAGTTCTTTATTTCTGCCACTCTGAGAGGCAGAAAAAGAAACTGTCTTTTGTATATGGGTCCTTGAATGATATTTATTTCTTCTGTGAAAGTCTGCTGGCTTTGCTCTCCCTCTCCCAGCTTTACTAAGGTAGAATTCATAAATAAAAATCATAATAGATATACAGTGTACAGGAAATGTATTGACACTCATTAACTCTGACAATTGCCTTTTGTTAATTTGTGGAGTTCTTTTCCTTCCTTCCTTCCTTCCTTCCTTCCTTCCTTCCTTCCTTCCTTCCTTCCTTCCTTCCTTCCTTCCTTCCTTCCTTCCTTCCTTTCTTCAGCTCGAGGCTAGTGCTCTACCACTTGAGCCACAGCACCACTTCAGGTTTTCCAGTGGTTTATTGGAGATAAAAGTCTCACAGACTTTCCTGCTCAGGCTGGCTTTGAACCATGATCCTCAGATCTCAGCCTCCTGAGTAGCTAGGATTACAGGCATGAGCTACCAGTGCCCAGCTGGAGTTCTTCTTTTCTTTATCATCTGATGCAAAATAACATCTTTATGTACTTTTTGCTCTCTAAACATTTATTTATTTATTTATCTATTTTGCCAGTTGTGGGGCCTGAACTCTTGGCCTGGGCACTGTCCCTCAGCTCTGCAGCTCAAGGCTGGCGCTCTACCATTTGAGCCACAGCACCTCTTCCGGCTTTTTCTGTTTACATGGTGCTGAGGAATCGAACACAGGGCCTCTTGCATGAGAGGCAAGCACTCTACCACTGAGTCACCTTCCTAGCCTCTAAATGCTTTATTATGGGAAACTTCAAACTATACCAAACTTTATTATGGGAAACTTCAAACTATACCAAACTTTATTATGGGAAACTTCAAACTATACCAAAAAAGTTTTAGGTACAATAAACCCCCATTGCTATCGCCAGTTCCTGCTGATCTGGGGCACTGGGAGCTGCCAGTGGGGGCGTTCTTTATCTATTGAGGGTCTGCTATTACCAAAGGGTAAATTCATTCTGATTGGCATGCCCCAAGCATTCCTTAACCATTTTGTTGCATGAATGAATTAACATGATTCAGTGTTATTTTCTTCTTAAAATCATGTTTCTTATCTTTAAGTAGTTGTGTAAAGAATTTCCCACTCAACAAAGCAGTTTATGACTACAATGTATCTTGATTCACCTCTTTCTTCATCCGCCCCCCTCCCTCCCAGCCCAACCTTTTCCCTCTATTTTCTTAACTTTGTAAGGCAAGACTGGATGCATGCCTGTACTCTCTCCCCTTCCTCTCGCCGTTCATCTATTCCCCTCCCTTTGACCCCAGCCCCCACCTTTCCTACTCCTTTCCTGGTGTTTATTTTGTTGGACTATGTGTTCACTTTTCTAAGGAATTACACCATGTGAGTTCTCTCTTGAATCTATCCTATTTAAGTCAATACATCTGTGTACACTTGAATACCACACCTCCGTGTTGACTTACACATTTATAGATTGGTTCTAGCTTCCACATATGAGAGGGAACGTGTAGCCTTGTCTCTCTGGGACTGACTCTTTCACTCACCACCTTTCCCCTCCTACGTCGGTCCATTTCTTTGCAAGTGATGCTATAACATTCTTCGTAATGGAGGAGTCAAATTCTGTCATGTATATATGCCACATTTTCTTGACCCATTCGCCATACGGGGCATCTGGGCTGATCGTACACCTTGGCTCTGGTGAGCAGTGCTGCAATAAGCATGGTTGTGTATTATTTCTTAAAGCCATTTTAACCTGCTCTTTCTTCAGGTCATTTCAAAGTGCCAGAATACACATCTCCACAGGACTGACAAAATGTGTGACATGTCCTATAAAACTTTTTTGAAAGACACTCGGAGATCAGAGCCTGCAAATATCACAGGTGAGAGAGGCCCCTGGACTTTAATCATTCACGAGCATTCATAAGCATTTTCCTCTGATGTGTTTTGTCTCAAAACTTTGTCTCATACTTCAAAAATCACATAGGCAGATTCCCCAAATAAAAACTAACTCAGAGACAATATGTGTAGAGGTGTCCTATCAAGAAACCGGGATGTGAAAAGCTGAGACTGGAAGGAGGTGGGAGTTGTGGCTGAGTGTCCACTCCTGTGAGTGACGGGGACTGGGCTTCCGGCTGCTCCGTGTTCCTCGGGAGCTGCGATCAGGAGCCGGTCCTTCACTTGCCCTGGTGTGACACCACCATCCCCTTCCTCAAGGTGGCCTGCTGGGGGAGAGCGGTGGGGTGGGGTGAGGGGCAGGCATGCCCACTCCCAGACAGTGCTCAGAGGTGAGGGGGGCCTGAGGCTTCCGACGGCCTGAGCAGGTGGTGTAGGCTAGAGCCAGGTTGACCCTGTGGGGTTATGGGGGGCAGGGCCCCTCTGGGGATGAGAAGGTGGGGAGGCCACCCGGAGCACCCCCTGAGCCACACGGGCCTGCTCAGGGCTCCGCTAGGGTGAGGTAAGGGCTGCCGCATCTGTCAGGTAGGATGCGGTGGGAGCGGGCCCGGGGTGGAGACGGGACCCTGTGCAGGGCTCACATAGCCCAGGGTGTGCGTAGGTGATGGGAAGGGGAGTAGCGCGTGAGGGCCTGAGCGCTGTCCCGGCCCCTCCGCCCCGGGCTCAGCATGGTGTTTTTGTTTGCTTGATTTTTTTGATGTGGTGATGGCCTTGCCAAAGGCACAGACACTCAAGAGCATGTGCTGGCAAGGCTGAGCAGAGCTGTGGAGGACCCAGAGCCCTCTGTGCTGCTGGGTACCTATGTACCATTGCACATCTTGTGTACCACCGGAGTCCTGTGTGCTCTCATGTATACCGCCACAGCCCTGTGTACCATCTGAGAACTTGTGTGCCACTGGAGCGAGCCCTTCGGTACCATCAGAGCCCTTAGGTACCAGCAGAGTTCTTGTGTACCACTGGAGCCTAGTTTAGCATCAGAACCTTTGTGTACTATTGGAGTCCTTGTATGTCATTGGAGCCTTAGTGTACCATTGGGGTCATTGTGTACCATTAGAGTCCCTGTATACCACTGGACACCTTGTATATCACTGGCACCTTGTGTACCATCAGAGCCCTAGTGTACCATTACAACTCTGTGTGCTGTCAGAGTTCTTATGTACCGTCAGAGCTCTAGTACTGTGAGAGCCCTAGTGTACCATTGAAGTCCTAGTGTACCATTGGAGTCCTAGTGTACCATTGGAGTTCTAGTGTACCATTGGAGTCCTAGTGTACCATTGGAGTCCTAGTGTATCATTGGAGTCCTACTGTACCATTGGAGTCCTAGTGTATCATTGGAGTCCTAGTGTACCATTGGAGTCCTACTGTACCATTGGAATCCTAGTGTACCATTGGAGTCCTAGTGTACCATTCGAGTCCTACTGTACCATTGGAGTCCTAGTGTACCATTGGAGTCCTAGTGTACCATTGGAGTCCTACTGTACCATTGGAGTCCTACTGTATCATTGGAGTCCTACTGTACCATTGGAGTCCTAGTATACCATTGGAGTCCTACTGTACCATTAGAGTCCTAGTGCACCATTGGAGTCCTACTGTATCATTGGAGTCCTAGTGTATCATTGGAGTCCTAGTGTACCATTGGAGTCCTACTGTACCATTGGAGTCCTACTGTATCATTGGAGTCCTAGTGTACCATTGGAGTCCTACTGTACCATTGGAGTCCTAGTGTACCATTGGAGTCCTAGTGTACCATTGGAGTCCTAGTGTACCATTGGAGTCCTAGTGTATCATTGGAGTCCTAGTGTACCATTGGAGTCCTAGTGTACCATTGGAGTCCTACTGTATCATTGGAGTCCTACTGTATCATTGGAGTCCTAGTGTACCATTGGAGTCCTAGTGTACCATTGGAGTCCTACTGTACCATTGGAGTCCTACTGTATCATTGGAGTCCTACTGTACCATTGGAGTCCTAGTGTAGCATTGGAGCCCCTCTATACCATAGTATACCTTGTGTACCATTGGCACCCTTGTGTACCTTCAGAGCCATTATTGTACCATTGGAGTTCTTGTGTACCATTGGTGGAAATATAAAGAGAGATCTGTTGTGGAAAGCAGGTGTCTTAAAGAGATAAGCACAGAAAGAACTGCCATGTGGGGGCTGGGAAGGTGGCTCAGTGGTAGAGCGCTTGCCTCACATGCCTGAGGCCCTGGGTTCAATTCCTCAGCACCACATAAGCAAAAAGAAAAAAACCGGAAGTGGCGCTGTGGCTCAAGTGGTAGAGTGCTAGTCTGGAGCTGAAGAGCTGAGGGACAGCGCCCAGGCCCAGAGTTCAGGCCCCACGACCGGACTCCCCCTCCCCCCGCAAGAAAAGAACTGCCATGTGATCTAGTAATCCCCCTTCTGCATAGCTGCTCCAGGGTTATGGAGCAGGATTATGAGCTCACACACTCTTGCTCATAGCAGTACAATTCACAATGGCCCAAAGAGGGCAGACAGTGCCTAGGGACTGTGGCTGCATCAAGAAGAGGGGATCGATGGCACTGAAGTGGGGTGTCATAGTGAAATACTGCTCTGCCATTAAAGGAGGAGGTCTAACATGGCTGTGCCATGGATGCACCTTGGGGATTCTGTGCTAAGGGAAATAAACGTGGCACAACAAGACAAATGCGGATCACGCCAGCCAAGGGAGCACAAGGCCCTGAGTTCAAACCGCTTGCACTGAGAAAGGATGACAAATGCTGGGTTTGTCCCGCTGCCATAGAAACTCAGAGCTGGGGACACAAAGTGGTCATCCTCTATTTCTGGATGTCTGAGATCCAGAGTGCATCTGACCAGTGAGGACCAGGCACCAGTTCTGAGCCCCCCTGGCCACCCTGGCTCCTGTCCCAGGCCAGCAAGGACAGGCGGGGGGGGGGGGGGCTGGCCTGGGTGTGTCCAGTATACCCTTCTGGAGGTGTGTCTTTTCTGTTTCTTTCATGCCTGAGTTCCCACCTATAGCAACCTCCTGGCTGTCATAGGGAGGTGGGAGCTGGAGGCGGTATCCTGACTGAGGCTTCTTTCTGGTATAAGTTAACGCCGTAGTCAGAGAAGATGCCAAGAAAATTCTCCTGACGGTCCTAAGGGCAGATTCCTTCCTCCCTCTCCAGCTTTTAAGGCCCTGTGTTTTCCTGGAGGTCCTAGGGCCAGATCCCTTCCTGCCTACCCAGGCTTGAGAGGCCCTGTATTCTTTGGCTGTGGTCCTTTGGCCATCTACTAAATACTTTGGCTTCCAACGCTACTTCACTTTAAACATCCTTGTGAGATATCCTGGCCCATTTGATAATTCAGGCCGAGCCCCTCACTACGGTCAGCTAATTGTCCTGATTCTGTCGGCAGCCTTTGTTTCCTCTTTGCTAGGTTACCTCGCTCATCCGGGAGTTCCCAAGATTAGGGTGTAGATATCTTTGCATGGAGGTCATTATTCTTCGTATCATGGTATAATGGTGAGACGGCCAGTTCACTAGAATAGCAGCTACCTTCTAATTCTGATGCTCCAGTTAACAATAGCATCAAATACACAAAGCAAACCCACCATCACAACAGGCACCGTCAATTCAGCAACTGCTAGTTCAAGCAGGCAAAGGAGTGAATGCATACATTAGGACGGGATAGGCCTGTGGTGGGGAGTGGAGGCAGGGACCAAGGGAGCGGCGGAAGCAAGGAAGATGCCGGAAGAGCGCAGCAGCGACCCCTCACTCTGGATGCTGTTGAGAATGTGCTTAGTTGGGCACTTGCTCGGCCATTAGAAAGTGAACATTCTTGTTAAAAACACAAGCAATAAGATGGGTGCCGGTGACTCACGCCTATCATCCTAGCTACTCAGGAGGCTGAGATCTGAGGATCACAGTTCAAAGCCAGCCTGGGCAGGAAAAGCTGTGAAACTCTTATCTCCAATAAACCACCAGAAAACTGGAAGTGGCGCTGTGGCTTAAGAGGTAGAGCGCTCGCCTTGAGCTGAAGAGCTGAAGGACAGCACTCAGGCCCAGAGTTCAAGCCCCACGACCGACAAACAACAACAACAACAACAGCAAAAGAAAACCCATAAGCAATGTTCCTGACACCTGACCTCAGTGAGCTGCAAAGTCTCCCAGAGTCGCCCAGCCCTGGTTCTTGTTCATGGAGCCTGTGTTGGACAGGCAGAATCTAAGGATCACTGCAAACTCATCTAGAATATTTTTTCAGTACTGGGCTTTGAACTCAGGGCTTGGTGCTTGCCCGACAGGTGCATGCTCTACGGCTAAAGCCTTGCCATGGGCACTTTTTGCTCTGGCTGTTTTTGAGACGGGGTCTCGCTTCTTGTCTGGGGTCAGTGGGGCTTGGACCATCCTACGGGGGTGTGGCTCCACTGCTGAAGTGGAGTCTTGAGCACTTCAATACCCGGCTGAGCTGGAGCTGTGGTCCTCCAATCTGCTTCCTGGAGGGCTAGGATTAAAGCTAGGATTATAGGCAGGAGTCATGGTGCCCGGCCCACCTGGAGACTTTTCAACAGTTGGTATATACATTCTGGCATCCCTTCGATCTCTTTCTCGCTACCACTGGTCTCTCCTGGGGGTTTTCAAGATCCCTGATCTTCACCTCCATCTATGTCCTGCAGGAAATTCCACCTTAGTGACCAGCCCTGCCTCTCAGGGGCCTGGAGACCACTCCGTGGAGATGTGTCCCATGCCCTTTGAGGACACCAGGATGCTCCTGGTGGTGGCCTACAGCGTGGTGTGCGCCCTGGGCCTGCCGGCCAACTGCCTGACTGGCTGGCTGACGCTGCTGCAGGTGCTGCAGGGCAGTGTGCTGTCCGTCTACCTGTTCTGCCTGGCGCTCTGCGAGCTGCTCTACATCGGCACCCTGCCGTTCTGGGTCATCTACATCCACAACCAGCACCGCTGGACCCTGGGCCCGTGGGCCTGCAAGGTGACCGCCTACATCTTCTTCTGCAACATCTACACCAGCATCCTCCTGCTCTGCTGCGTCTCCTGCGACCGCTTCGCCGCAGTGGTGTACGCCCTGGAGAGCAGAGGCCACCGCCAGCAGAGGACGGCCGCCTTCATCTGTGGGTCCGTCTTCCTCCTCGTCGGCCTTGTCCATTCCCCGGTGTTTCAGATGGAGCTCGTGAGGGACTCCTGCTTTGAGCCCCCGCAGATGAACGGGAGGATCGCGGCCTTCCACTACGCACGCTTTACCGTCGGGTTCGCTCTTCCGTTTGGCATCATCTCCTTCACCAATCACCGCATCTTCAGGAGTGTCAAGTTGAGCGAGGGCCTGAGCGCCGCCCAGAAAGCCAAAGTGAAGCACTTGGCCATCGCCGTGGTGGCCATCTTCCTGGTCTGCTTCTCCCCCTACCACATGGTGCTCCTTGTCAGGGCTGCCGCCTTCTCCTTCCACAGAGGAGACAGAGACGCCTTGTGTGCCCTGGAGGGCAGCCTGTACACTGTCACCATGGTGTTCCTGTGCCTGTCAACTGTCAACAGCGTGGCTGACCCCGTAATCTATGTACTGGCCACAGACCATTCCAAGCAAGAAGTGTCTAGGCTCTACCGGGGGTGGAAGAAGTGGTCCACAGGGACAGGCGCCACCAGGCTGTCCCAGACGCCAAGCTCACCCACGACACCGGCCCAGGCCCGCGCAGTCCCTCAGCCCGCCCACCCAGCACGGCCACAGCCAGCCCCCAGGGACTCATCCTGCTCCCCAGAGAGGCTGGCCGAGGAGTCCTGCTGAGACACCTTCGGCAGAGTCCCTGTGGTGGACGCCCCTCGGACACATGCCTGCCACTGGGTCCCCAGACACCAAGCCCACCCACAGGGCAAGGGATAGCTCACCCGCACCCGGGATGAGCAGCCCAGAGAGGGCACGCGGCCCGCAGGGGTGTGTGTGTGTGTGTGTGTGTGTGTGTGTGTGTGACAGAGAGAGAGAGAGAGAGAGAGAGAGACAGAGAGGAACACACAGCCCCAAGGTGTGTGTGTGTGTGTGTGTGTGACAGACAGAGAGAGAGAGAGAGAGAGAGAGAGAGAGAGAGAGAGAGAGAGAGAGCGCACGTGGCCCCCAGGTGTGTGTGTGTGAGAGAGCGCGCGTGCCCCGGTGCACGCGGTGGCAGCTGAGCTCTCTGTCTGGGCCTGTCCCGGCCAGGTCCCTGGGCCATCAGCCAATGGCAGGTTTGGCAGAGCAGTGAAGACTTGGCTTCCTGTGCTTCTCTGAGTGCCTCACCACGAGTCAGAGGTCCTGAGGTGCTCCATACTTCTGCCTCAGAGTTGATGTAGCCACACCACAACCACCCAGCGTCCAGGCCCGGACGGTGACACAGCCCAGGCGCTTCAAGGGGGCAGGAGGCCCGGCTGCCCGGTGCCCTGGGGGAGCTGTGGGGAAGCTCACCGGGGCTCAGGCCCTGCAGCCCGCTCCTCGCCAGGAAGTCACCAACACGGAGGCCAGGCCAGGCCCATGTCTTCCTTTCCCCAGCTAGAAAACAAGGCCAAGGGCACCAGCCTTGGGGGTCACTGTCGGGCTGGCCACCTGCTCCCCTGCGCTGCTCAGACACCTCACACAGGACACAGGCTGGAGCCCAAGGGCAGGAGATGCGGAGGCCCCAGATGGAGTGCCACGGTCTGCAGGTGCTGGTGGCATGCCTGTGGACGTGTGCGGGGCCGCGGTGCGGGAGCCGCCTTGGTGTCTGCAAGCTGGCTGCGTCTCCACTGCGAGAGGTGAAACGGGAGAGCCACTTAGAATAAAACCGCAAAGCTACATGTGGGGCTCAGCTTCGCTCCCTAAAAGGACAGAGCAATTTCCCCTTCGCAGGTGAGCAGTTTCCTGTGCGTGCATGTGGGCGTGCGTGTACATGCCTTTCAGGAAGTGAGGCCGTGGGGGTGGAGTGAGCTCTTGGTCTCGCGGAGAGCTGGGCCACAGCACAAGGAGGCCAGGCAGGGCCAGGCAGGGGCCAGGGTGGCCAGGCCTGGCCTCTGGAGCACACCCACCGCCCATCACCCCACGGGCCTCCATCTTCCTCCTTGAACCCCCTGGGGCCGGGAGGGGGGGCAGGGGGGCCCTTGGGTCAGCATTGGCTCCTCTCCTGCGGGGGCCTCGGGTCCACACCTGTCCAGCACTGTGGGAAAGGCAACTTACTGGACTGTTCTGGCCTGGACAGCCTCCATGGGAAGTCCCCCATGGCCAGCCCCCTGCTAGGCGGGGTGAGGGAGCGCCTGGAAGGGGCCTGGGAGGGAAGCCGGGCCCTGCCCAGGCAGAGCGGTGGAGGAGGGCCTGGGCCCCTGAGGCACAGGCCTGCTGGGGAGGGGGGGCGCGCCCCTCTTGGCCAGACTCCTGGACACATTTCTCTTGTGTAAGTGATGGTTGTGTGTTTCTGTCCCCTCCAACCACAAACCTTTCCTATCTTCATCTATCTAATGGAAAGTTCTGGAGTTACAGAGGAGGGGCTGCACTCGCTGGCTCCCTCCTCCATTTACCTCCCACTGGCCCCTGGCTTGGTCATTGACTCATTCACCCCTCTCTTCATCCCTCCCTCCCCTGTGTACTGACTCAACCCCCCCCCCCCTCTAGCCATCTTCCCCCAAAGCACACTCCCCCGTATAGTACCCAGTGGAAATGCTGGGAAGGAGGAGTATCCTGTCAACCCTGCATAGCCATCCCCAGCACTGCTCCAAACCCTTCCAGACTCTTCCTACAGCTCTTCTTAGCCTGGGGCGGCTGGGGCAGAGACACCCGGCACTGTCAGAGCTGCCTTCAGAGCCAAGCAGGCCCTTGCTGGTGTTTTCTGAGTGGTGAGTGAGCACTCCCCCCCCCCCCCCCCGCACTGCTCTGGGCCTCTGTACACGCCGCCCCGGGAGGCCACCGGCTCCCGGATGGGAAGTGGCCAGAGAGGGCTTGGGCAGAGCTTAATGGCTTAGTGCACTCAGCATGTGCAAGACCCTGGGTGTGTACTCGCACTCTCTCTCTCTCTCTCTCTCTCTCACACACACACACACACACACGATGAGCCGATCTCATGGGCTCCTTCTGCCCATGCATCCTGGCTCCTGGCCTTGACAGACACCTGCACGGCGGAGCCTTGGGCAGTCTGGGGCCGGTTCTCCCCCCACAGACCGGCTGCGCTGCGCTGCGCTGTGAGGGGCTGTGGATGCAAAGGTGAACACGTTGGGGGCCCTTTGGGACACTTGGAGAAGCTATACGGGCCTCCAAAGGAGACTGGGGACGCTGTGGAGGATTCTGGTGGGTTGTGGGGAGGGGTGGACGGAGACCCTGCACCCTGCCTGAGAACAGTGGGAAGCAGGCTGGGACGCTGCCCCCCTGTGGCGGTCAGGGGGAGGACAGCTCTCACTAATGGCTATGCGGCTGGACGCTCACAGGCCAGCCCAGGCCGTAGGGGGAAAATTGCTCCTTGGAAACCACCCTGCGGTCCTGTGAGATGCCCAGGACTTCCAGGGACAGCGCTTTTCCCCTGCCTGTGCCTGAGCGTCCTCACCCAAAACTTGGCAGTGGAGACAGTGACTGCCCAGAGCTGCTGGGTCACGGACTGCAGTGTGTACCCGACACTCTGCCTGATGCTGTGGTCACGGACAGTGGTGTGTACTGGACACCGCGCCCGACACTGGGTCACTGACTGCGGTGCGGACCGGACACCGTGCCTGGCCCAGGCTAGGGTCAGCTCAGCTTCCTTTCGGTGTCCCAGCAGAGGGCCCTGTGAGGGTGTACGCCCAGACCGCGGTGGCCTCTCAACAGGAAGAGTGTGGACCACACCACCAGCCCGTGACCACCGGGGGGCAGCGTTGCCTCAGTGGGAGTGGGTCCGAGCCAGTGTGCAGGAATACTGGCTTCCACAGGACTGCCCCGCCTGTGTCCACCGGTGTTTCCTCCCGTGGGGCCCGTCCTTCCACACCTTTCCTAAACATTTGCCTGCCTGGTCTTGTTTGGGTGTGAAGCTTTTGTGTGAGTATTCTAGAGTTAAACAACAGCGGTGCGGCGTGTACACGAGAGCTAGGTGTGACTTCTTCCTCTTGTATATTCTAGCTATCTTTTGGCATCCATTTCCCCTCACCCTGACTACTGCCCGGCAGCTTCAGTATGAGGGTCACCCTCAGGTCTGCCCTTGTTTGCCATTTGGGGGTCTCACGTCTGGATATGCTGGTCAGTATTTACTGGACACTGGCTTGGGACTCGCTCTGGCTCTGTCTGTGCCTTCGCTGGGCAGGAGTGAGGGCGGCGGGGCAGAGCTCCCGCGGGTGTGGCTTAGCGTCATCTTCACAGGTGTGGCGGTGCCGGCTGGGCCGGGGCCTCGGGCGCACAGGCCTGAGGGAGGGCTCTGGTGCGGGCTCACACCGGCTCGGAGAAGGGCGAGGACTCAGGTGCCGGCGCCGGCGTGGGCGCGGGCGCACAAGCTGGGGGAGGGCGCGGGCGCGGGCGCATCGGCTGGGGGAGGGCGCGGGCGCATCGGCTGGGGGAGGGCGCGGGCGCACAAGCTGGGGGAGGGCGCGGGCGCGACCGGCTCTGGGAGGGCGCGGGCGCGGGCGCACCGGCTGGGGGAGGGCGCGGGCGCACCGGCTGGGGGAGGGCGCGGGCGCACCGGCTGGGGGAGGACGCGGGCGCGGGCGCACCGGCTGGGGGAGGGCGCGGGCGCGGGCGCACCGGCTGGGGGAGGGCGCGGGCGCACCGGCTGGGGGAGGGCGCGGGCGCACCGGCTCGGGGAGGGCGTGGGCGCACCGGCTGGGGGAGGGCGCGGGCGCGGGCGCACCGGCTGGGGGAGGGCGCGGGCGCACCGGCTGGGGGAGGGCGCGGGCGCGGGCGCACCGGCTGGGGGAGGGCGCGGGCGCACCGGCTGGGGGAGGACGCGGGCGCACCGGCTGGGGGAGGGCGCGGGCGCACCGGCTGGGGGAGGGCGCGGGCGCACCGGCTCGGGGAGGGCGCGGGCGCGGGCGCACCGGCTCGGGGAGGGCGCGGGCGCACCGGCTGGGGGAGGGCGCGGGCGCACCGGCTGGGGGAGGGCGCGGGCGCACCGGCTCGGGGAGGACGCGGGCGCACCGGCTGGGGGAGGGCGCGGGCGCACCGGCTGGGGGAGGGCGCGGGCGCACCGGCTGGGGGAGGGCGCGGGCGCACCGGCTGGGGGAGGGCGCGGGCGCACCGGCTGGGGGAGGGCGCGGGCGCACCGGCTCGGGGAGGGCGCGGGCGCGGGCGCACCGGCTGGGGGAGGGCGCGGGCGCACCGGCTGGGGGAGGGCGCGGGCGCACCGGCTCGGGGAGGACGCGGGCGCACCGGCTGGGGGAGGGCGCGGGCGCGGGCGCACCGGCTCAGGGAGGACGCGGGCGCACCGGCTCGGGGAGGGCGCGGGCGCACCGGCTGGGGGAGGGCGCGGCGCACCGGCTCGGGGAGGGCGCGGGCGCACCGGCTGGGGGAGGGCGCGGGCGCACCGGCTGGGGGAGGGCGCGGCGCACCGGCTGGGGGAGGGCGCGGCGCACCGGCTGGGGGAGGGCGCGGCGCACCGGCTCGGGGAGGGCGCGGGCGCACCGGCTCGGGGAGGGCGCGGGCGCACCGGCTCGGGGAGGGCGCGGGCGCGGGGTCCTGTCCTGGTCCGGGTCTGGCCGCCGGCCTGGGTCGCAACAGCGCCACCGTGTCCGGTGTGTGAGCGTCCCCGGCACGGCCGGGCCTCTCTCGGGGCCCCGGTGCGGGGCAGAGCGGGGATTCCTGGACAGGAAACTTGTGGCGGGCGGTGTCCTCGCTCCGCTCACCCCGGCGGCGGGCTTTCCGCGTCCCAGGATGTCCGGGCGTGCCTCCCAGGTAAGGCCGTCCCTCCTAACGGACGCCGGCCCTAGGGAGGAGGGCGCCCGCGGCCGTCCTCAGCGGCCACGGCTCACCCTCCTCGACTGCCCCAGCCTCGCCGCGCACCGAGGTGTCGGGACCCCTTGGGGGGCGTGGCCGGGGAGGGGCGTGGCTCGGGCGGGAGGGGCCCGGCGCGCGGAGGCTTGGGACCTGGGGGCGTGGCTTGACTCTAGGAGCCCAAGAAGCGGGGGTGGGAGGAGCTGGGGGCGGGGCCAGGAGGGGCGGGCCTGGGCGTCGGGGGCGGGGCCTGGCACGTAGAGGCCGGGAGCCGGGCGTGGGGCCAGGAGGGGCGGGGCCCCGGAGCGGGAGGGTCCAACGGCTGCGTCGCGGCGCGGGAGTCCGAGGCGCCGAAGCCCCGCCCCGGCGGGTTTGAACGGAGCCCCGCTCCGCATTCGGCCAATCGGCGGGCGAGCGGCCCCGCTATGGCGGCCCTTTGTAGGCGCTGACTGGCTCCGGCGCCGAGCGGAGCGGCGGGCGGCCTCGCGGCGCAGGTGAGCGGGTCAACGGCGAGCCGGCCGGCGGTTCCCCCGCGGCCCGGGCGGCGGCCGCGACGAGCGCCGGGGGGGAGGGGGCGGCGGAGCTCCGGGCCGGGCCGCCGACCGGAGCCCCCGCCGCGCCTGCGGGACGAGGCTCGGGAAGCGGGCCGGCCGGCCCTGCCGGCTCCCGGGGCCCCCGGGCCGCGACCCCTCCCCGCCCCCCTCGCCCTCCCCCCTCGGCTGCCCGCCCCCCTGCCGTCCTCCCCCCCCTCGGCTGCCCGCCCCCCTCGCCCTCCCCCCTCGCCCTCCTCCCTCGGCTGCCCGCCCCCCTCGCCCTCCCCCCTCGGCTGCCCGCCCCCCTGCCGTCCTCCCCCCTCGGCTGCCCGCCCCCTCGCCCTCCCCCCCTCGGCTGCCCGCCCCCCTCGCCCTCCCCCCCTCGGCTGCCCGCCCCCTCGCCCTCCCCCCTCGGCTGCCCGCCCCCCTCGCCCTCCCCCCCTC